GCATAGAAGGTTTTTACTATTGATGGTGCTGAAAAGCAATATGATATGAATTTTTTCTTCGTAATTAAAACAGTGGCTCTTTGTATTGTGTGTTTGTGTTCAATTACGACCTTGTGTGGGCGTATCTGTGGCCGTTCTCTCTCCTTTAATTTAAATTAATAAAATCCAAGAACAATTTTTTTCTATAGAATGGTAGTTTCAGTTTCAGCCTGAAAATTAAAATTCTGTAATCAAACTACTATCAATGGAAAGTTTTGATATGTCTAATGTCTATACGTTCATTCAAGGCATCGCCAAATGAAATTGAACCCAGGTGTAAAATTCTTGCAGAACAGCTTTTTATAACTACTCGAAAACTTCACTCGTTATCTGTTTGTTTATTTTAATATTGCAGTGGGGTAAAAAATGACCCTTCCCTTTTTTGACGGGAAACATCAAATACATGTTTTGAGGCACCAGGAATCCGAATCAAACAAAAGCTCGATGATGTATACAGGGTGATTTATATAAAAGTTGTATTTTTTTAAATAGAACTCACCTATATTGTTGCATATTTCGATTACTTGGTCAATTTTAGGGTGACTTTATTTACACATGAATCATGATAGCTAAAATGAATGGCTGAGCGTCATTATTTCAAAAAATAGATGTCCCGTAAAAATTGAAAACGAAGTTTTCTTAAAACTTAGAAGGCCATGACGCTGCAGTATTACTAATCATCACGTGTGCTTACCTACATACGCCGAACGGTCAAAGTTAAACTTTTTTTGTGCTAAAAGAAATCACTGTCAATTTTCAAAATTTCAATCAAAGATAACTTGATTTTTTTAAATGAAACTACCAAGTTTTTTATTGATTCAAATGTAGGATTTGATTACCTTTCTAACGATATAAGCACGCCGTATTTACCTTTTATACATATTTTTGTAATTCAACCATTTCTAATAATACACAAGGTTTGTCGATTTTTAAAGCCTCTCAGTTAATAATAGGCCGTTAAAAGTTAAAACACCTATTCTAATAATTATAAAACAGGGAGTTATATTTAAAAAAGTGCAACTTTGATTTAAATCACTCTGTATAACAATTGCAATTTCGTTGAAAATATTTTTAGGTTGTAGCCCGAAGAGTCCTTCAATATGCCCCGACAATGAATTTTAAATATTCTTTTCAAATCCTAAGTATTTAGTAACCGCGCACTAAGCTGCTGTATTTCGGAGAATTTCATATATATTTTTTTGTAATAAAACCAAATTTGTGTAGGTTGAACCAAGAAAAATAATCTCTTTCAAATAACTAAATAAAAAATTTAGCGCTACTATGTATTTGAAAAAAAAGTTTATTTGAAATAAAACCTAGCATAATTTGTGTAGGTTGTACACAGAAAAACAAAGTCTTCCGAATAATTTAATAAAAATTTTGCGTTATTGCTATTTAAAAAAAAATAGTATGACGTTTACATCCTTTATGCCTAATCTGCCAACGTATGTACGTACATACGTAGGTACATACGAGTTAAAACAGACAGTAAAAATTTTTATTCTTTAAAAGTTGCTTAAAATGATCTAAAACGTTGACGTTTGATGAAATTTTGATACGTCCAAAAACGGTAATCGCAATATAGCCACCCCGCGCTTTTTGACAACCCGTACGGATTTACTAATATCTCAAAATATATCGAAGTACTTTCTGCACTATTTTGTTCCGCATTTGCAGCCTTAGAAATTCATGACTATACCAAGAACAGAATGGTGGAAATTGTAACGTCTACAGCGGTACTTCCCCAATATAGAGTCTCAACTGGGATGCGACATTTTCGATCTCACAGAAATTTGGTATCTGCGTCTCTTTAAGGGAAAAATAACGAAACCAAAATTGTTTTTGAAAATTCGAATTTTAACTGCAATTCTGGACCAGACATAGGCCTACGGTAGTTTTTAGCTCATTTTTGCAAAGTAGGATCGATGTCAAAACTCTAATTGCATCTTCGTTTGTTCTTAATAGAAGCTTTTCATATCACTTTGGTCGGCTGACTGGCTGGTTGGATGGCTGCCTGGCTGGCAGCAAATGAGGGCCTGTAGACAATCGCATGTAGAAAGACGAGGAGTGTACGTGTCCATACGGGGTCGTGTAATTAACAACTTTAGGGACGGGGCTACATGATGTGGGGACGGCGACATCTGGGCGCCATCCCCACGCGTGGTTTACTAACGTGATAATTTTTAGTTTTTCCTATCTTCTTCTACAGTTTTGGTCGAGGTCGAATCCATAATCGCACGTCAAGATACAATTTTACAAGTCGTACGACAAAATTGTGTAATGTGAATCTTGAAATATTTGGTTATGGCAACTCGCAAGTCGCAAGAAAAATCGTAATCAAAATCACATAACGTAAATTGCACTTATAAGAATCCCCCATTTACACGCTTCTAACTTGTATTTGAACTGACCACAAATTTTTTTAAAGTTTCGTCAATAAATTACCAGTGGAACTGAGAAGAAAAAATAACTTTTTGTCTCATAGGCACAGCCAAATTATCCCTTAGAGCCTTGGGCGATTAATTTAACAGCCTCAATTGCAGATATGCTTTGTGCCTCGATCTTTAATAGGGTTGCGCGTGTAGAAAAAGCAACCAAATTTCGGAGCTGAAATTTTCAAACAATTACTTGAAAATATTCAGACATTGAGATACTCAAAAAGTACCTAGTGTTTTCACATAACAATATTTTGAAAACTCTTTCGAATGCAGACATCAATGCGAGGCACCTTGTTTTAATGTAACCCAACAGTTTTTGATACTTTCTATCAGCTAAGTCGTAGAACTCTTTGAGTATTTTTCAATGCGAACACTATAAATGTTAAAAAAATAAGTCAATTTTAACAATGGTGAACTCAAATCAACAATCCCTATAAGTTTTGTTTTTATTTCAGGGACGACCTCCATTGCAAAGGCTTTGTTGACACCTTTTACTATTTTTGCCACCAAAATTACCTACAGTTACCGTTGTCTCCACAAAAACCCCACAACTTTTGATTTTAAATCATTTAATGTTAATACACTTCCTTACAATATTCAACGATTATATCCGATTGGGATCCAAACTCCAAGATTTGAATTTGCGGGTCCTTCTGCGGTCAAAAATAATGGACCAAGACGAGAAACAATTTTGTAGAGTCATGGTTTGAGGCATCTCACTCAGTCCATATGTTGCAATATTTTTGAAATCCACCATCCATCAACATACCGCATTTTGTTTTACAGAAAACCATGTTTTCTAGAAATAAAACCCTGTTGTGATTGTCGTGGACAACCAGCATATATAAGGAAAAAATTCATTAATCCGCATGTGGGCAAAGGCGAAGAGTGCATTTTCAAATTTGTTTTTTCGATTTTAACAACCCTTATGGACATTTCATGCCTTAATGAGAATACAAAAATGAAATAACTTTTCTGATGGAATGACACCAATACCATGTCTGTAAGTGGTGTAGTTCCGGAGCCTTTGTGACTCAGACAGACAGACAGGTAGACATACCAAGAGCGCCAAAGTGTGCACATTTTTTTTTTGAAAGTGAAAGTGTACTAAAAACGGAACTGTCACGTTCAAAACGGGACGTTTGGTCACATCTCACATTCGACTCATATTCGCTAACTTGACATAAATTCTCAGAGACGCCTATTGTTAGTTACCTATGTTGTTTCTCACAAAACAGGCCTAACACCTTCTCTGATTAATTAATAAAAACTTCGTCTACGTCATAATTGTGCTTTTAGATCGTCTTATCATTAAAAATACTATAAAAATTTAAATACGAGCACGGAACACGCCAAGCTGTAATCAGAGATGTCGGCATTATAACCTAAATCGCACAAAATACCGTACCTACTTATAATCAAAAATAAATCAATTATACGGTAAACATCCTGCATAATTACAAATCTTGTTGGTTTGACAGAATAAGGTATAATCAGTCGTCGGTTCGCCCTTCCGAGTTCCAATATAAAGGAATGTGTATGTGTAACTAACATAAACACATGCTAGCAGAAAAATTGCGAGTGTAAATGGGGAAGGTCAGTTACATACAATACAACATTTGTTGGGCTCTGTGTAATCGAATACCCCTGTTTATCGCAACAGTTCTTGCGGTTCTTGTCTTTCTTATTGCAGTTGTAAACCACGCGCAAGTTATTCATTCTACAGCGCTTCCTTGTGGACGCGGAATAACACTAATTTAGTTTGGATTTAACGCACCAGAGGCTTAAATCCAAATCACCGTTGCCAGAATTTAACATGGCATGATCCATCTGTAGTATATTTAAATCTGTGGTAATACTAATAACATTGTGACATTGAATTTATAAAATTCAATGATTGTGAGTATCGGCATGACAATTATTTACTTTCCTTTTAGCTTATTCAAACACTATTTTAATCATTAATAACATATCGTAGACGCGCAATAAAAAGATCGGTTACACAAATATTTAATATAAGAAAATTGAAAATAAAAAATATAAATGTGAAATTAATGTTATCTTTCATGGTATTCTAATTAAAGGTCTCAACGAAAGGAACCGTTTTCTACCAACTACCGCCCTTCATTCTGATCCCTTATCAAAAGAGGAGAGTGGAACTGGTTTTATCCTCTACTCTAATGAAAGAAAGGTCGAAAGGAATTCATTTCTACCAACCATAGTCCTCTTACTCGACCCCTTATTGTGATCGGATATATTCCCTTATATCTTCAGAACGGATTGTCGGAAGAGGGTACTGACAAAGGGCGAATAGACTGTAAAGTATCTCATGCTCTTTTGTATGTTCCATCCATGAGCTAGCTGGTCTCTAAAGGTCTCTACCCACTACAACGTATCATACCATGACCGTAATAGGAACGTGCCAGCCAAAAAAATATTGTTTGTATGGAATAGTATGAGACTATGCCCACTAGACCGTTTTGTCACCGACCAGCACCGTAGTGTCCCTTCACACCGGGCGACTTAGCAGCGACACAGAACGCAGTGCAGCGCTGTTAAACAGCCAGCAGCGCGACTGAGTCGCACATTCAGCTGCTTCGTCTCGCGACTGGATTTGAACGTGCAACTGTGTCGCGGGTTAAGAGCGTCTCTCAGTTGCGACTGCGACTTGCGATGAATCGCAGTTGCAGCCGCAATGTAAATATGGTTTCGTTGATGCGTCTGGAGGCACGCTACACACAAAATTTATTTAATTTTCCACAGGAATCATGTCGTGATGAGTCAGTTATTTTGTTTTGTGATTGATGAAGATGTCGTGACTTATTATGTTGGAAGAAGATGAGGATGAAGAAGTTCTGTTAGGAGAAACGTTATTTCACAAAAGATCTGACGCGCATGTAATGTTTAAAAGAAGAGCAGAAGAAGGGTACTACAATCTTCTTATCAATAGCCATTTAAAGTCAAATAAGAAATAATATTATTAATAATTATCACAAGTTTTTAAACAGAGAACGCTACTTTTTTCCATGCGTTTTCTTTCACAATAACATTTTTATAATTTTCATCTTCATAATCATAAAGTGCGGCATATTTGCGTATTTCTTCGATTATACTTTCGTCGTCATTTACTGAAAACCGCGTCATTTTTACGTTGCGTCTGCGATTTGACTGGTGTATCTATCAGTCGAGTCGCAGCAATTGCGTCTCGATCTCTTGCAACTCGAGTCGCAACGCACGAACGAAACCGCTTGCGCACGAATGTACAGGAAGCAGTGACTTGCAGCCGACTGCAGTCGTTGGCCGCACCAGCAAAACCATACCTTAACGGGCGATCAAAAATGAGTTGCTGTCGAGTCGCCTTTGGAAGTTCAAGTGCGAAAAAGTTGTGATGAGTTTCAACTTATTTCCGGTCAAGTTAAAGAAGGGCACTGAGAGTGGGAACCGTGTCCCAGTAGCTGCAGTTCAAAAGCACTTTGGAGTGCCATGATCACAACGTCATGCAAGAATTTGGCAAGCCAAAAGGACCGAGCCAAGCCAAGAGGTGTCCTTAGCAATATGGTAACACATCCCTTCACACGGCACGATTCGCAGCGCCATTAGTAGCGGGAAGCGATTCTCAGAAACGCCACCATGCGACAAGTTTGTTACGGTATGGTCAATTTGGTTGCATTATTGTACGTATGTGTGGAAATTGGATTCATCGACACTGATAGGACGCATATAAAAACTTGTCGAAGTTTCGAAGGTCATTGTAAAACGTATGATGAAGAACGTTTCTCTGTTCGAGATAGAAGATATGTATGAATCCAAAATTGGCGCTTCTTTTGAGATTTATTTTCCAATTTGTTGCGCGAAAGTAAATCAAGTATAAATTGTGCACAACTCTTGTGCACATAAAGTGCAGTTTTTTAATCGAAATAGCTTTTGTTTTGACATCATCAATGGACATATTTCTTGCAGACGTCTCAATCGCCCTTTGTGAGTATCCCCCCCCCCCCTTTTTGAGGGACCAAACAAATAAAAATACTTGAAACATGCGTATGGTAACATTCATCATGTAGTGAATATAGTCTTAATAAGTATGAATATTAATTTATTCCACACTTTTGAATGTCTACAGAATGTTAAAGCGTTTACGTGTAACTCCTATTTTACATATAACTGATTTACGTGAAAAGGGGACGTTAACGTGAAAGCGACTTCGCGACGCCCGACATAAAGATCAGTGGCGTCAAGGCGAGAAACCTGGCCAATTAATAGATTAGACACATAGTGGCCACTAGCCATGCGAAGTTGCGGTTTTTGTGTTAAAAATGATTATTTTTTAGATAAAAGAAATGTACGCAATCTTCATGCCAAGACATCGCCAATCCCCAACTTGATTTAATTTTAAATATTGTAGCCCCACGGACACCCAGTTCAGGGAAAGAAAATTTTGCTTGTAGCTGTAGTAAAAATTAAACGATTGTGAATAAAATAGTACCCAGGGGCCAGGGAGGACGTTTTCCTTAGTTTAGTCTGAAGGTATCATCGTCTACATCTATAGGGTTTGTCCCGTGGAGCGAGAATTTCACGGTCGACCTTACGGTCATGAAATATGTGAACAATTTTAAGGGTCACTTACTTGTAACTCCGGTGGACCACCTTCATCGCGAATAAGTAAAAGGTAACTTTGATTATCGACTAAAATTTCCTTTTTAAACCGGCCTCCTTCAGGTGATTCCTCTTGCATGTATGAACCGGTCAAGTACCGATGTACTAACGCCGATTTTCCCGAAGAAAGAGATCCGACTATACCTAATCTTAAATCTGGCACAGATCGACTTAATGTCCATTCTTGACTATTAACAAAAGAATCTGAAACAAATAATGCAATTACTATTTTGTTTTTAAGTTAATATCTATTAGAAATTTTTTTTAATACGAAGGAAACCCCTAATGCCAATATACTTATACTTACAGTATTACTAGTATTACCTACCCAAAACAGACAAACGGAATGTTACAGGAAAATGTCGCCAAAATTCAATTTCGACAGAGAATAACTTCATGCGCAATGAAATTTAATTCGAGTACGATAAATCCTATTGACAAACGGCGATCAGAATGAAAAATTATTTTAGAACAGGATTTCCTGTAGGTGGACTATCAACCATTACACCGCCGCACTATACTATAAAATATAAATAACACTGACTGAATATTTATTCATACTTTAATTATAATTACACACAAAGGAACGGCCTTTCATTATATAAAATCGTATAATGATGACATGACAGTGATATACTAACAAAACAATTAAACGTGAAGAGGATAACAGCAGCCAATAGTTTATGTACCTACGCAATTACAGTATAAAAAGTAACTATATAATAATACTTTGGAACCTTAGATTTGTTTTTACGCGTTTCTCAGTACGTGACAGGATGATAGTTATTTAGATAATAATAATTCAAAACAACCCAACTTAGTACCTTTGAAAATGTATATTTAAATAAAATTGTATCCGAGGTTTAACCATATTTTAAAGAAATATGTAAAACGTGTCACGAGTACGATTCAAGAAATTTTTATTTCCAGTTATATGCCATAAGTCGTGCACAGAATATGTGATATATGATCGCGACCCTGGTTACTGGTTAGTGTATTCGTAGCTAGAAATTTTAAAGAAAGTAAAATCACAGATTATAATCTGAATTAGATTTATAATGAGTAATGATCCAATCAATCTAGAACTTAGTTCATTAAACAATTCACAACAGTATAGTATAATGATATGATAATGAATGTTTTCCAATAAATTAACTAAAGTCAATTTGTGGAATTCTATCAAATTTGTGTGCCAAATATATGCAGTTTTCGTATTTTTGTACTGCTTAATTTAAATAAAACGCCTTGTGTTCCACACCGACGGTCAATATACAATATACACTATTGACCTGCCAGTACGTACCCTATTTCAAGTTTCGTACTACAAACATGGTAGTGTCAAAAAGCTCAAAGAGCTGTGCATGCCCGCTTTTCGTCCTTGGGTATGCATATTATAGAAAATAAAATTGGTCCACCGATGGACCCTTGAGGCACCCCATATAGTACTGTTGGTAGTGGAGTGGAGAGACCTCCTATCACCATCACTAAGGTGATGGATCACTGGATTCGTTGTAATTACTGAAGTATAATTGGTCCTTCGATGTTGAAAAAAGACTCCTATTAACTGGTACTGGGAAACAACTACTTTTTCGTAAACTTCCCTTCTTTAATTTGACTAAAACTTCATTTTTATCATGACGACTTAAATCTCTTAGTATTCATACCACTTAACTAACTATCGTCTTGCAATAATACGCTTAAATAATGGCAAAAAAATACGTAAAAAAACAGATGATTAACATCCACCGCCAAAAAAGACCCGCTTAATGTTCGGTTCGGCTATTTAAAACTTTGTCTTTGTTTTTCACTTTCGTTCCTCCTTAAATAATTTATTAATGCGTCGTCAAAACATCCGTTCAATTCTGCGATAACAGGTGCTTATCTTGAAACTAATTAGCTTACGCCACGCTAGCAAAGCTTCCCATCTACGACCGAAAACAAACTTTTACTAATCCTACGAAATTATTTCCAGATGTTTTAACACGTAATAAAATTGAATAAATAAATAAAATACAAGGTGATTATTTAAAAAAATTAACAACTAATATATAATTCTAATACCCAACGAACTTCACCTAGAATTCATATATGTTCGGATGTGCGTTTAATCTAAAAATTAACGACCACATATACGCTTTAATAACAACACATAGTCATACAGGGTGACCCAACATTACGGTAGGTGCCAAACAAAACGCCCGCATGCCGTAGTTTACACAACCAAATTTTTTGAAATTTTAACCATAGCTTGTTTTAAAAACAAACGAAGCACATTCAGCGAAAATCAAAAACTCAGAAACTTTTTATGATACCCAAAATCATAAAAACTTTGCAACCAATCTACATACTTTAAAATTGTGGAAAGTGCCGTACGTCTGCCGAATCTAGGGGGGAATATACATTCTTCAATAGCCACCTATATTTTTTTGATTACATAATCTTAAAGTGCACACTTTTTTTTGATATTAAATTAAGGAAAATATTTGTAGGTATTATAATTAATTTAATAATTTCACTAAATTGTTGGTGGAGAAAAAGTTCTTTTGTTGGTTTTGTCAAAGCAATTTATGGTATTTTTTAAATAAATCCACATGCTTAAAAAGACGCACGCCACAGTTTACACTTTTTCAATTTGTAAATTTGTTGCAAATTTTTAATAATTTAATATTTAACTTGCTTTGGCAAACCTAAGATTAACGTTTTTCTAGGCAACCTAGCAAAAATTGTAAAATTAATTAACACAACTATTTTCCCTAATTTGAGTTTTTCTCTGAAATTTGATTATGTATCTAATATAATCAGTTTTCTTATTCGATTGATGTATTGTTCCATCGTTCTTTAAACGTGTTGTATGATGAGGATTGGGAATTAAAGAAAATCTTTTTTAAACACGTTTTTTTTATTACTATTGCCGCAATAAGTGTAATAAAAGTGAGGTTGTGTATACTTACACACAGGTGAGGTTGTGTGTAAGTATACACAACCTCACTTTTATTACACTTAATTTTTCATTCCTGACAACTAATATAATATATAACATCGTCAAAATATTACATGCATCATCACTTCACCAAATGACGCTCGGCCTGAAGATGACCTGATAAGGTCGAAATCGATAGCCGCAATAGTAATAAAAAAAAACGTGTTTAAAAAAGATTTTCTTTAATTCCCAATCCTCAGTTTTCTTATGCCGCTATACCCAAGATGTGTACGCTTTAATAATATGTAAAGAAAAGTAGTGGTTTCCATAAAAAAATATACCTCCCTTGATCATGCATAAGTACGCCACTGACCACAAATTTAAAGTACGTAGATTAATAGCGAACTTTTTATTATTATGGATACCATACAAACTTCTTTGTAGACATTGTACTTTTGAAGATATATTCAGTGTTCCAGACAAAATTTCCACTCTGTATATTGGACAAACGAAATATGGGGGCTAAGTGAACGCCTCGTCTTCTCCCAAAATCAAACGTAACAAACATGTAACAACGCTATTGCGAAGTACTTTGATTGCCCCCACTCGATTTTTCCAACTGGGGAGTTAAGTAATCTAGCATTTTCACCTCGATTTTCACACATTTGCTTGAAAATAAATAATATATTGATACAGTTAAGCAAGTAAATAGTACGAGTGCAATAGACCTATTTATTATGAAACAAACTAAAGATCCGAAAGAGCGGAACTTCCGATTGATTTTGCAGTTTCGATTCCGATTTCGGTTCCGTCAAAATTAATTCGGATGCTATATATTGATGGACAGAGTCGGTGCGGTCACAATCAGATCAGTTCGTTCGCGTACAAACAAGTTCATACTTGTCGCTCGAGATACCATCCTCACCCCGTGCCTTCTGTTGATTACCCTTTCACTTGTGTTTGTGTATAATTTGCTTCTTTTGTAGTCACTTTATTTTATTTTTCTGCCTGCAATTAGTACGGTTCCGATTCCGATTTCGGTTCCGATTAACCAAATTAAAAACTGCGCTTCCGAATTCGGTTTCGATATAACCACTTCCGTTACATCCCTAAAACAAACCCCTTCATCATTGCAATTCTGACATCATGAATTCATGCGTGTGACAACTTTGTATATTAAATAAAAACAAACATAGTACCGACTATTGGATAGCTTTTGGTTTCGAAATAGAGAAAGATACCGTTGCGTTTTTTAATAAGAGAGAAAAATTTCGCGGCAGAAACACCGTACGCGCCAAAGCAGTTTCCAGAAATGGAAAAATGTAAGGTAAACCATTACCTTCTTACGGAGAAGTAAAAATTACACTAGGTTGTGAATTATGCGTTTGAGTAACAATCGCTGTCAAAGGAATAAAGCAACATGCCTTGCCATAAATTCTTGAGATAATGGAGGTTCTATAGTTATCGTAGGTCCCTACCCTAGGATCGGGACCCTCTAACCGCGCGCAAGAAAAAAAACGTATAAATTATAATAATTCGGACGGTTGTTTCTCTATAACGATCTTACTTAATTGCTCATTAAGCATTAACGTTTTACGCATAATATTATTTGCAAATTTAAGCGAGAAAGAAAACGATTAGTAGGTAACAGATGGAACACAAGAAATAACAATGCGAAAATGTCAGAAATTCTATACCTACCGACCAAGTGTTGACAATGTTTAAGAAATCACGAGTAGCAGATGGAAGGAGAGTGAAGTATTTACGCTAAATTTAAAGGCATTTGTCCCTTCTTGCTTTGCTCCAATTCACAATGTAGGTATGTAGTAGTATTAACATCTGTCCTCCCAGTGGCGCGTGCGATTTTTGCTCTTTCTCTCTTACTTGTACTGTACATAGGTAATTTAACTGGAGTTTTTATAACATCACGCAAAATCGTCTCTTGATCAGAAGTCGCAATTACAAGAACATTTTATCCTCCGGTTTTGTAGAAATACTGTAGGTAAATTTGGTAAATAAGTTAAGGAATTGAGCAGGTATCTTCATACGGCAGTTAACAAATATAAATACGTAAATATAACTAGTGGTATTTATCCTGGGGCAAAGTAATAGTATGCTCATGTAAGGATGCCTTCATGTTTAGTTTTCTTTAAGGAAGTTCCGGTAGTGCTTATGATTTCCGGCTCCGGGCGCCAGATGCGGCATCCATGTCACGTACCAACACCTGCGGAGTATGTAAATTGTAAATTTAATGTGCAAATATCAAATTCCACCTTTTCGTTTC